GGGCGGGCAGCCTGCGGGCAGCTCGCCCGGCGGCCCCCTCCTGCTCGCCCGCCTGCGGACTCCTCCTGCCTCGGCGGCTCCCTGGCCGTTAACCGCCTCCCTGCCACGGCCCGCCGCGCCCCGACTCGCCGGGAGCCGAGCCCCGTCGGTCCTGCTCCCGGTCCCGGCCACGCCGAGACACGGACGGCAAAACGCCGCCGCCGCCGGCGCGGGGCTGAAAGACGGGGCGCCGGGGGTGCACCTCCCCGCGTCCCTCCTCGCCCCCAGTGCTCCTCGTTGCCCCGGAGCCGGGAGGGCCGGGCAGCACCGGCACCCACCCCCCGTGTCCGCCGCTCCCCTTCCCCACCGCGCTTGCCGTGCGCCCGGGCGGGGCTCCCCCGGCTTCATGGCTGCCCCCCACCCCGCTCTGTGCCGCACGATGGGCTCCCCCTTTCCCCACGGCGGTGCACAAGACGTGGGGGTCACTGCCGGCGGTGACCGGCTCTGTTGGAAAGGCTGAGCCGGGGTCACCCTCCCCCTCCCTTGCCCTGCTGAGCCCCCTGCCCCTCCTCTGGGGGGTCTGGCTCTTCTCCCACCCACGGCACGCTGTGCACAGCCCCACGCAGGACCCAGCTCCCGTGGCAGCGCTGCCCCGCACGCAGTGGGTGAAGCAGGGTGCCTTCCTGCCCCATCCTGCCCACAGCAGTGGGGCTCTGCTCGTCGCTCAGTGGGGTCAGGGCTGTGTTGAGGTTATGGGTTCACCCTGTGGCACCAACCCCAGAGCCACACGGCGCCTGGATCTGGCTGCTCCCCGTGCACGGCACCTTCTGCCAGCACGCCGTGATCTCTCCCAGCTTCCTTGCCTCAGTTTCCCCAGCTGGTGACGGAGGGTTAGCTCTGCTAGAAAGACTGAGCCGGACCCCTCAGCCACAAGTCAAGCAACCCTCTGCGACCCTGCCTAGTGGCACGGCGATGGAGGAAACACCATCTCCCTGCCTCAAGAACAAGCCCAGCACCAGGTACACCTCCCCCCCGACAGGAGACGCGGTTCTGCCGGGGAGGCGCGTGCCTGGCGGAGAAACCGGGGTCCCCGGAGGACAAGTGATGAGACAGCCGCCCATGAGCTCGACAAGAGGCTTCGCCTCTTCCCCGGGGACTGCGCCGCAGGTCAGTGTGACCTTCACTGTGCTGCCGATGCCAACGGCAAAGCTTTCCCCAGTCGTCCGGCAAGCGCACACACATCTTCAATCTTCCCATCGATCTGTGCATGGCACACATGTTCCTGCCTCTGTGCGGGTCAATACAGCATGATAGGCTGCCTCCGGCAGGGAGCACGCACAGCCCCGGCCGCCCGCCTCACCCTGCCCGGGGGATGCGGTACGCACGTGCCAGCCCCGCATCCCCAGCTCCGAGAGGCTGGGCAGGTGGCCCGAACACCGCCACCGCCACGGGGGGCCTCCAGCCACACAGCCACCGGCCCCACGCCACCTCCGCAGGGCTGCTTGGCCCTGCAGGGGATGGTTGGTGCCCTGCAAACACTGTGGGGAGCAAGGGCCTGATCCTGTGGCCAGGAAGTTATCACAGAATCACAGAATCTTCTCGGTTGGAAGGGACCTTAAAGATCATCTTGTCCAACTGTCAACCTAATTTTGACAAAAATAGGCACCCACACAACAAACAAAAAGCAACAACCGTCACTGGGTTCTGGGGTTCAAGGTGATGGCCGGCATTGGGTCTTTTTGGTCTGCAGAGTGTCGCATCTCTCGGTGTCGTGGTGGAGAGGGGCGTGAGGGCACCGGGGATCTACCAGGCAGGTCCACCCCATAAGCACAGATCCTGAGGTACGGGGCAAACCGAGCTGTGTCAGTGTGAAACCGGCAGGAGCTTGGTGTCCTCTGCGCCCTGGACAGTCCCAGCACGGGAACAGGACTGCCTCTTGGTTCCCTGCACGGCCTTGGCCTCCACACCATGGGGACCACAGTGTCTGCCACCTGGGATGAGGACACCTCTCAGCACACTCCTCACAACACGGTCCCCTCCTGTCCAGCCAAGGAGATGTTTCCTCTCCTCCTTCCTCTCCTGCCTCTCCTCCCCTGCCATGTCCGGGTCCTGCCTGGTCACCCAGCACAGGCAGATGGGTGCTGGGGCTCATCCCCTGGCAGGATGACCCAAGGCACGGGGCTGAAGTGCAGCCAGGCTGGGTTGGGATCAAGCTGTGCCCAAGAGAGTGGCACCCAAAGCACAGACCCCATCCCCAGGCCTCCTGCAAGCCAGGGAGGGGGGAAGGCTGTGGCTCCATGGCCACCAGCACCCAGGCAGAGGGCACGCCAGGAGACACACGGGGCTGGAGGTGCAGGGAGCAGGGAAGCAGCACAGCTGGGAGGGGATGGAGCTGGGCTCAGGGGCTGCTTTCTCCTGGGACCAGACAAAGCAGCAAGCACAGGACCAGCTGGGAACGGCCCGTGCTGCCATTTGGCAGCATGTCTGCAGCTCATGGTTCTGCACCAGGGCCTCCCACCTGTGGCTGAGCACCGCAGGCCTGCGCATGGGGGGCATGAGGCCATGATGAGGGACTCTGCAGCGTGCAGGGGGGGGTCGTCTGCCTCTCCACCCAGCCATGAGCAGCTGCAGAGCCTCTCTGCCCGCTGATGCTCCCACATCCAGCCCTTGGGTTTGATACTAAGAGCTGGGAGAAGCCCAATTCCCTGGGCTCCAGAGTCCTGACTTCATTAGCCACCGTGCAAGTAAGCCAGCAGGATGGGAGAGCCAGCCAAGGGCTCGCCAGCAGATCGGGAAAGGGGGGTCCCCCTTGTTCTCCCCTACACCCCCCAGCCAGGGGGGATGCAGAGCGGCAGGGGCTTGGCGCAGGGCCCGCGCACTACACTCAGATGGCGGGGGGAGGCTGCGGGCGCCGGGGGAGACAGGACTGGAATTCGAAATGATGTTGACAAATCGGAGAAATGGCCTGAAAACAATCAGATACAATTCAAAAGGACAAGCGCCAAGAGCTGGGCCGGGGCGGGAAGCAAATCCGCCCAGCGAGCGGAGAGCGAGCGGCTGGAGGGCAGGGCTGCTGAGGGGGCAGGAGGGCAGGGCAGAGCCCCTGGCTGGGCAGCGGGCAGCAGCGTGGGCCTGTCTGAGTTTAACACCGACACCCAGGACAGTCCCAGGTGGATAACAAGGCGGGCAGAGGGTCAGACACCCCCGGGCAGGATGCTCGGTGCAGGTGCGGGTATCCGTGCGTGCAGAAGCTGTGTTTCCAGATGCCCGGCAGCCAGGCAGCTGCTTGGAAAAGCATCCAGGAGCAAGGAAAAAACCACCCGGGAGCCTCGTTCATTTGGGATATGGGATCTGCCAGTTTAATGCGGGATGTCTGGCTGCCCTGCAACTGCACTGAGCTCGGTGGAAAGGAGGACGTTGCCCAGGGCTGCGTGAGAAGGAGCATCGTTCACAAGGCTTCTGAAGCACTCACTGGCAGCGAGGCCTCTGTGGGAGCCCTGTGCCTGGTTCAGGACCACACGTCAAGAAAAATCCAAACTAATTGGAAAGAGTAGAGAGGATGGCAATAACAGAGAGCAGACCGGCTGGAGGCACTGGGGGTTTGGGTGAGAGCAGCAGAGGCTAAGAGGCTGCAGTCATAGACAAAACAATCGCTGTGAGCACAGAAGGCGGGGGCTTTCTAGAGCACCAGGGCCTGACACACGGTAGAAGGCAGCAGGGGTTAGGTGTAATCTCCACGTGGGAGAAGCTGGCCCACCGCCTGGAGGGGTGCTTGGTGGGACTGATCCTGCTGTGGTGCCCTCCAGCACCCTCGTGATAATTCATCCCCCTCCCCAGGACACAGACACTGCCCAGTTCTATTCTTAGGCTGATCTGGATGAGGGTTTGGTTGTGATTTCCCTGTCTTGCCACCGAGCTGATGGATTGACTCTTTGCTGTACCAGCACCTGACCTCCCACCGGTGCTGTGCCACCACGGTGAGCCCACCCTCCCGGCCACCCTGCAGGGCTGTGGCTCCTCAGTATGGGCACCGGGAGACCGAAGGATGCTGTGGCCAGGGCAGCCCACACGGGTGGGGGACACAGGAGATGGGACAGATACCCCAGCAGGGAGGCCCCACCTGATCCCCTGCTAGTCCAAGCTGGCCAGGACATGGATCGTGCTTGCTGGGTACTTTTGCCACCGGCCCAAGCCCGTGAGCCGGCTGCCGTGTCTCCCTTGCCAGCTCCACACGCTCTTGGAGCCGACGCCGGCCGTGGCCCCGCGCCCAGAGGGAAGTGGATCTGGGACAATCATTAATTTTGATCTAATTGAAGGAAACGTGACCGTGGAGCCCAGCTGGCCGCAGCGCTCGGCTCTGCCTCGCGCCGGTCGCATCCTCCGAGACCCTTGCGAACACGTCGGCTTTAACAAGCGCAGCCTCCTCCCCCGGTTTCCCCCGGCAGGTCGGGCTCCGTGGCGAGGGTGGGAAGTGCCTCGGCTGTGGGGAGATGTGGGATGACAAGATGTCCACTCCGATTACTGGAGAGCAGGGCTGGTGACGGTGTGATGAGCATGCCGGGCATCACCACCCGTCGTGGAGCTGGCCGTGGGGCGGCACGGGAGCTGCTTGCACCCCGCTCACTGAGACCTCCACATCGTCCTCCTGCGCTCACAGGGAGCAGTGGGGCTGGGAACTGCAGGAGGGAGCCATACACACCAGGGCAGGGAGAGGAGCCATGGCTGTGAACACCGTTACCAGCTGCGTGGTGCTGGGATGGGGAGGAGAGCAGCTCCGGCGCCCCAGACCAGCCTCGCTGGTGGCCCCTGGTCCCCTGGGCAGGCAGTGGCCAGGCTGGGCTGGGCTCCCCACTGTGCTCCCCGATTTAGCCCACGGTGGCAGATGACACGTCTGCCGGGGCCAGCAGACACATCAGCGATGTGGCACCCCATTAACGTGCTGAC